CTCTCTCTCTCTCTCTCTCTCTCTCTCTCTCTCTCTCTCTCTCTCTCTTTTCGATTCCGTTGGACTGCCTAGCACACACACACACATACAAAAGCACGTGCTGCCCCACCACATTCGGGTCTTCCTATATACCCAGAACGAGTAGCTGGTTACTATTAGCTGGCTACTTTTTCTTGTCGGCTGCTGCGTTTTTCAATGGCTGCTTTTTCAATGGCTGCTGCTGCTTCAAATCATAAGTGACCATTTTTATTCTGGCAGAGAGAACGTAATCACCAGCTGAACACTGACCGGTAATTGAAATGCTGACCGAAAGTTGACCGAAAAAAATGTGTTTTTTTCAAGCAGAGATGATTATGATGACTGGTTTTGATTCGGATAGAAAAAATAATGACTGAAATGATCATCAGTTTTAATTTAAACGCTTTCCCTTGTGCTACCTAATAAAGCCAATTTAGTTTGTATTTCAGCGTGATAATTGCCAATTCCTTCCTTCTTTTTTTTGTTAACAACAAAAGATAGGTCAAATCAAATCTGGCGAGAGCATCAAAATTGTCATCAGGAGTTTGTTGGCGTTGCTGCTGTTTTTCCTTTTTGTCCCTTTCAGCTGTAATTGAATTGCCTGAATGCAATCAAAGCAGCCCAAACAGAAGCAAACTGACTGACTGACTGCTCGTGTCACTGCCTTCCACCACCACCACCACCACAGCCATTATAATTAAGGTCTTCTGTGTGGAGGCTCTGCTTTCTGCCTATATGATGGCCTGAACAGAAGCAGAAACAGCAGAAAAAAACAGCTAGGTAAAGTGAAGCTCAATGAACAGCAGCAGCAGCAGCCGCAATGTACAAACATAATTGGACCAGCAAACACACCGAGTAGTAATTGGCGGCAGCGGCGGCGGTGATTAGTAGAACCCCGGCTTGGCCTTACAACTGTGTGTGCTATGGTACGCGCAAAACAATTCAATTAATTACCGAACTTGCGGGTGAGGGAGAAAAAAGGCAGAGAGAATTACCGAGGAAGAAGGAAAACAAGTTACCGCCAATCTGCACAATTTGAATTTCGGCCCTGGTTCGCCATCTGTCGGCGTAAAATTGCAGAGAACTTTTTCCCTCTTCTGCACATGTGTTCTCTTTCATTCCCTTCGCGTTGCTGTTTTCTTCTGTTTACCTCGTCGCAGTCGTTCTATTTTTCTCGTTTTGTTGCGGATTCCTCTCACACTTCTTTCTTCGGCGCATCTTCTTCTCCTTCTCCTCCGGCGTCGCCGAGGTAGCCGAAGAGAAGGGAAAAAGTGTCGCCTCCGATTCCCCCCATCAGCTCAGCTCAGTCCTTCTCCTTTTATTACCCTCTGCTTCATCAGTCAGCAGAGAGCGAGAGAGAGAGCGACAACCTATCAGTCTCCCTTCCCTCTCTCTCCCTTCCATCGCCTTATGTCTCACCCTTATCATCTCCATCACCCTCGCCAGCATAATCGTCTTCTTCTTCTTCCTCCACTATCTTCGCCGTTCATATTATGTCCGCACGAGGTAGTAGCAGCATCAGAAGCATTGGCAGCAGCAGCATTGGCAGTCAGCAGCAGCAGAAGAAGTCCCTTGCCTCCAGTTTCACCTCAGCCGTCCCCCTCAACATCAGCCGATGCTGCCCGATGATGATGCTAATGTTGCCGACAACTACGACGACAATGTGCTACCGAAGTGCCTCGGTACAGACGAGACTATGATGGTGGTGATGGTGGTGAGGATATCCATTGCCAAAGTGTTGTCCAGTACCAGCACCTGACAGCAGCAGCAGCCAAGCGCGCTATTTTATCCTTGTATTTTATGTTTGCCGTGAGCTTGCTGTAAGCAAGACGGGGAGAAAAGCCAAAGCAAAACAAAGCACGACAAAGTAAAAATAAGAGATACATTTCTGTAAGCAGGAAAAGCAAGAAAGAAAACAGGAAAAAGCTGATGATGTGAGAAGAGTTCACTAAAGACAGCAAAAATAGCAGCAGCACTTTCTTCTCTCTTTCTCAGCACTTCATTCATCGAAAGTCAACAACCTCTTGACGGTCATCTCTTTCTCACTCTCTCGTAAACACAACTAGAAAAAAAACAGTCTGCTGTTTTGCTGGTGAGTATCACTTTATGGGTTGTGTGTGGTACATTTGATTCTACCTGGTACTTTTGTACTTTAGCTTTCATTTATTAATACACACTCTTCTCTACAGCATTCTTTCATTCTGCTCTGTACACACACACACATGAACTCAACCGTATCATCCCTTTCTCCTGGTGCCATCTAATTACTTACCAGAAAGCACTTCTTCTTCTTCTTCCAGCCAGTGTCAACACTACACAAGGGGCTGGTAATTTATTCCGCCAACTCTCTCTCTCTCTTTCCACCACTTTAATCACTCACTCATTCATTTATTCACAGTGCAGTATCATCACTGTCACCACCATCATCAGCGTCTCATCNTTCCACCACTTTAATCACTCACTCATTCATCTATTCACAGTGCAGTATCATCACTGTCACCACCATCATCAGCGTCTCATCAATTTAGGCGTACATTTCACCACCACCACCTGTACATTTGATCATCATCATCATCATCATCATGGTTCTGGGGGAGACGTACAAGCCCGTCCGGCCCAAGGCCTCACCCGAGGTGGAGGAACTTTCGCTGGAGCGCCTAAAATCAAAGCCAGCCAACGAGAATGACACCTTCGCCATCAAGTACACCTTCTCCTTTCTGGCGGCCGTCTGCGCCGAGACAAGTACGAACTGAACTGTTTGCATTTAAAAAGCTTTGAATTACCATTTTCCCCTCCTCCCCCTTCCCTTTTCCAGTCACCTATCCACTGGACCTGATCAAGGGCCGCCTGCAGATCCAGGGGGAGATGGCGCTGGATGCGCACCACAGTAGCAAGGCCAAGGTGCTGCTGCCCAAACGAGGCATGGTCGGCACCGCCGTTGGCATCGGTACGACACCTTATCACAACTCCTCCTCCTTAGGAAGTTGAACATTCCAAACAGTTGTAAAAAACCGATCCTTACCCCCCTCTTTACGCAGTTCAAGAAGAGGGCTTCTTCCGCCTCTGGCAGGGACTGTCGCCGGCCATCTACCGCCACCTGGGTAAGTGGGAGTATACTGCACCGGTTCTTTTCTCTGAAGCTTAGATTTAGACTTTTTAAAATGACCTCAAACAAAACGACTGAACTTCTATCTCTCTCTCTCTCTTTCCTTTCTCTTGAACATGCCTAAGCAGTAAGCAGCAACTGCCATCCTCTTCTAACTCTTCGCCGTCGAGTCTTAGACGTTTAGAGCTAGAGCAATGACCCAATGAACTGCGCGTCGTTGTGTGTTCCATTTCCCACCTTTCCCCTAAAACCTAAAACCTTCATTTCAATTCCATATTAATATCTCACCCTTAATTTCCCCCCCCCCTCCCCCACCAGTGTACTCTGGCGTGCGGATGACGCTGTACGAGGCAATTCGCGAGGAGATGCTGGGGAAGAACGAGGACGGCACCATTCCGGTGTGGAAGGCGGTGGTGGGCGGCTGCGTCGCCGGCATGACCGCCCAGTTTCTCGCCAGCCCCGCCGACCTGGTGAAGGTGCAGGTGCAGATGGAGGGCCGGCGGCGGCTGCAGGGCCTTGAGCCACGGGTGAAGAACGCCCGGCACGCCTTTGCCAAGATCTACCTGGAGGGCGGGCTGAAGGGGCTGTGGAAGGGCTGGATGCCCAATGTGCAGAGGTATGTGTGGGCGTGCTGTGATTTAATGTGTGTTTCTAAATGCCTATTCTTTTTTCCTTCTTCTTCCCCACAGAGCCGCCTTCGTGAACCTGGGCGACCTGACCACCTACGACTCGGCGAAGCACCTCATACTGAAGCACACCTCCCTGAAGGACAACTACTTTACGCACGCCCTCTCCAGTGCCTGCAGCGGCTTTGTGGCGGGTAGGAAGTGTTTGTTGTTTGCTGTTTGGCTATTTGTTGATCATTTTTTTAACCCTTCTCCTTCTTTTCACTCCCTGACTGACTGACTGACTTACAGCACTGCTGGGCACGCCGGCGGATGTGATCAAGACGCGGGTGATGAACCAGCCGACGGACAGCCAAGGTCGAGGGCTGCTCTACCGCTCCTCGGCGGACTGCTTCATCAAGTCGGTGCGAGGGGAGGGCTTCTTCTCCCTCTACAAGGGCTTCATTCCCTGCTGGATTCGGTGAGAGAGAGAGAGAGAGAGAGTGACGCCGGAACTTGAAAAAAATCCCTTCTTAAACTCATTTGCTTTATTTTCTCTCCCTCCACAGAATGGGCCCCTGGAGTCTGATCTTCTGGATCAGCTACGAGGAGCTGCGCAAGTTTTGGGGCGTCTCCTCCTTTTAGAAGAGTCATAACCACTGTGTCATAATGCCCTGCCGATGCTCACAATGCTCACCCTCTGCGTCCTTTTTCAACCCTCCTCTCTTTGGTGTGCCAAGAAAGTGTCAAAGTGTTGAGGGGAAATGGGGGCAATCATCATCTTCATTATCATCGTCATTATCACCGCCATTAGCAGTTGATAGAAAGCAGTTGTCATCAGATGCAGTATGTCACAGTATGTGCTTCAAGGCTGAGGTGGTATTTGCTGGCTGGCTGGGTGTGTTCACATGTTAGTGTTTGTTGTTGTTGTTGTCAACAATCAAAGAAAACGCAATCAGTGTTCTACTACCTTTTCCCCCTTTCCCTCCTTTTACCTCCTCTTCGCCTTTTGTACCCTGCAGTCAATCATCAAATAGGTCATTAGTAGTGCTCTGCCCTTTTGTAGTAAACAATGAAATTAAAAATCGAAATGAGAATTCCCTGCTTCAGAATCAAAGCTGATTTTGTTTGCGAGTTTCTTTTACCCTCTAACAATCGATGCCCTGTACCACATCGATGTCTCTCGCCTCGCTCCAGTACCCCTCGCAAACGGTGTGCAGACGCTGATCACATGATCACATGATCACGGGCTGGGCGTGCGTATTTCGAACTCTCTGTTCTGCTCTGTGCTCTGTGTTTTCAAGACTTTTCGCCGCTCACCTTTCTTCTTCTCCTCACTTGCTGCTCTGATGCTGTTCGCTCATTCTTCGGCTCACACTGAGTGTCACTCCAACCGACCGAACAACGGCCTCAGCAGCAGAATTAGCAGAATCAGCAGAATCAGCAGCAGCAGCAGCACTTGTTGATTGATTATCTTCTTCTAGCTCTTCATCACCGTTCTTTTCATCGCCCTCCCAAAATGGAAGCACCCGTTTCTTCTTCTTCTTCATCTCCATCTTCTCCATCCTCTACCNCAGCAGAATTAGCAGAATCAGCAGCAGCAGCAGCAGCAGCAGCAGCACTTGTTGTTCGGTTATCTTCTCTAGCTCTTCATCACCGTTCTTTTCATCGCCCTCCCAAAATGGAAGCACCCGTTTCTTCTTCTTCTTCATCTCCATCTTCTCCATCCTCTACCACCACCACCAGCACCACCAGCATCTTTAGCTTGCCCAACGAGATCCTGGTCATGATCGCGGACCTCCTTCCAATGCATGAACTGGTGCACCTCAACGAGGTGTCTCGTGGCTGGAGCGAGCCAAGGGCGGCCGCCCTCTCTGCCCGAAGGGAGCTGGTCATCTTCCGCCGCAAGAGGATTCCCCACAACCAGCTCGAAGTGGATGACGTCGCTGGACTTTATGTGAATAGCGTGAAGAATAGCAACGACAAAGGCGAAGACGACAGCGGTTCGTTCATCTCCCATCAACCAGTTGGCCTTGATCGGATCTCGCTGCTCACCAGTAAGCTCACCCCGAAGATGGTGGACGGCATCACCGGCGTGTTACCCAAGCTGATGATGTTTTGCATTGCACAAGAAGGCAGCTCTGCGGAACTGTGCCCGATTCTGAGCACCTCCTCGACCACTACCGCCATCAGTTAAGGGTGATATGCGTTGGCTTTACGGGCACCGTTGACGTCGCCCACAGGGACCACCGGGAGACAGCGGTGAATGGCTTTCGCGAGACGGTGCTCTCGCTGATCGCCTCACTGAACCGCCTGACAGCGCTGGACCGCCTGCATCTGTCGCTTTCCATGCCGCCTGCCTGTGGGCCGATACCAGTAGGCACGGTGGAGCTGAGCGTGGCGCGCCGCCTGAAGAAGCTCTCAGTGAACATGGATGGCTTCAGCTTTGCTGGTAGTGCTCCCAATGGGAGCGATGCAATGCAGGCCACCTACCAGCGGTACGCCGAGGACAATGAGCGCCTGGAGGAGCTGAAAGGTGCCAACCTCTTCCACCTGAAGACCGTGCTCGCCTTGGGTCCGCGCGTGTCGGCGGCATTGCAGCGGGTGCATCTGGCCGATCAGCTGGACGGTGCACCGGTGCAGCTCGCCGCCCTCCGCCAACTGGGCACCCAACTCCCCAACCTGAAGTCGCTCAACCTCTCCTTTGCCGGCCTGTCCATGGCGCAGGTGGCCGAGGCGCTGACTCCCTGTCGATCACTCCTCTGCCTGGTCCTCCTCAACCTCAACTTTGATGCGAGTTACGGCCCGGTTGCGCTCGCCAATGCTGGCTTTGCGCCTGCTGCTGCTGCTGCTGCTGGCCAACAGCTGCCGTCTCCAGGGCAACAGCAGCAACCCCCACCGCCTTTGCACGTTCTGCCCAGCGTAAAGGTGCTAGAGTAAGTAGTAATCGGCGGCGTACTATGATGCTGATTGAAGATCACTATACTAATCTGTTCTAATCTACTGTTACATTTTATCTCTACTACCACAGGATAAATGTCAAAACCTGCACTCATAAGGACTTTGAGTCGATGGGCCTGGATGTCATCATTCCGAACGTTGAGGTGGTCAGGTTGCGGCATTCTTTTAGAGGCTGTCCACTCTGTCACTTCACTCTGCCGTCAAGGAATGCCCAGCAGTGTCGTTCGGTGCAAGTCGCCTACTCGCTTTTAATTCACGAATGCCAGCGCCTGGCTCGAACTTACTTTCAAGACCGCTTCAGCAAGCTGAAATGCCTGCTGGCAAACGTCGGTCTGGAGGAGCTTCCACTCCCTCTCCAGAGGAACGTCATCTTCAAGCGAGAGGAGATAGACCAGGTGACCTTTGATGCGCAGGGATCACTTGTCGGTTCTGCGATTGCTAGAACAGAGCCACTTTAATCNACCGCTTCAGCAAGCTGAAATGCCTGCTGGCAAACGTCGGTCTGGAGGAGCTTCCACTCCCTCTCCAGAGGAACGTCATCTTCAAGCGAGAGGAGATAGACCAGGTGACCTTTGATGCGCAGGGATCACTTGTCGGTTCTGCGATTGCTAGAACAGAGCCACTTTAATCGTATATCTTCATTTTGTTTGTACATTTTGCACTTTTTCATTGTTATTACTGTAAAAAATGTGTTAGGTTTTAGAACCTCTATGATTTTGGAACTTGCAAGCATTGTTCTCCCACTCTATTTAGAGTGGCGTATCTCACTGTAGTGAGTTAGTTATTCACTAGTTTTAGTTGAATAAACGTTATCTATCAGCTCACGCTCTCCCTGCCTTTCAACAAAATGATTGCCAATTCCACATATTACCCCAGCAATGATTTTGAAATTCAACTCAATTCACCCGATCTTTATTCGCTCTGCTAATTAGAAAGAGAGAGGGCACCACCAGAGCGGAGCCACGAGTTCTGCTCGGATTTTGTTGTTTGTTTATTGTTGTCAACAAACGGTTTTTGTTTCTCCATCTTTTTTTGGTTGTGATAAGATCCTACGGGATTTTACTTCTTCTTCTACTTTCAGGAATATCCTCTACTAGAGGAAAGATGTCCTGTCCATTTGCAAATGGCATGACAGTGGTGGCGCCTGCAAGTCCGCCACCACCGCCGCCGCCACAAACGCTGGCAACTTCAGCAGTAGCAGCTCAAGATCAAGACCACCAAAACCAAGATTCAAGTGGATCAAATGATTCCATTGGTAGTGGTGGTGGTGGTGGAAGCTGTCCACCAGTGGAGCAAGAACCAGAGTCAGAACAGGATGAACAGTTGATGGAGCAGGGAGAGGAGGAGGAGGAAGAAGAGGAAGAAGAAGAGGAGGAGGGGGAAAGGGAGTTCGAGGACTCGGACGATTCGGACGACGACGACGACGACGACGATGATGACTACGAATACGTCGATGACATGCTGGAGAAGGGCGTCGCCACCACCACCATCTTTGCAAATAAAACCACAGCCTCCAATGGCGCCACCATCTCCAGCAACAGCAGCGAACATTTAAGGGGAAAGAAGCGCCGAAGAGCAGCTTCCGGCGGCGGCGGCGGCGGTGAAGAAGATAACCAAGGAGAAGGAGGAGGAGGAGAAAATGAAGGCGACAACGGCGGCCTCCTCGAGCGAAAACGCATGGTGCTGATTAGTGAGTACTCCACAGATTTTTGGAACCCTTTTTCGAACACTAACTCCTTTTTGTGTTTCCCTCTCTTTCAGAGCGCGACCAGGACCACTTTGAGATTCTGCCCGAGGGCTGGGTGGAGATAACGCACTTCAGCGGCATGCCCGTCTACCTGCACAAGGCAAGTCGCGTCTGTACGCTCTCCAAGCCGTACCTGCTCGGCGCCGGCAGTGCCAGGGTAAGGCTTTAGATGGAACTTTTAGATAGAACTCTTATCAAACCTCAAACCTCTTCTTCTGTTATCTCATTTACAGAAACACGACGTCCCCGTCTCCTCGATTCCCTGCCTGCAGTACCAAAAGGAGCTGGAGAAGGAGAAGCTGGAAAGGGAGAAGCAGCAACAGCAACAGCAACAGCAACAGCAGCAGCAGCAGCTGACTGAGGAGAACGCCTCAATGAATGCCTCCGAAGGAGCTGCCTCAACTCACACTTCAGTCACCACCGCCAATACCACCACCACTAATAGCATCACATCCACAGCGGCGGACAGCAGCATCGCCGGCATCGCCAAGGTGGAGACGCTGGCGGAGAACAAGAAGGAAAAGTCGGTGGACTTTGGCCAGCTGCGCGAGTACTGCAAGAACCTCTTTGAGTTCAAGATGGTCACCATTCGCAAGTTCAGGTAAAGAACTTGGGAAGTTCATATTTTTTCTCCGTAACAATAACCAAATGTTCGCCAAAATTGGAACGCAGAACCTGGGCCGACCGGCGAAAGCACGCGCAGACGAAGAAGCTCTCCCAGCGACCTTCGCTGCCTGAGTCCACGAAGCTGATCACCTGTACGGTGCCGAAGGGCGTCGCCGGCGGGTCGCCGGGAAAGGCGAGCAAGAAAGGTTTGTTGTGGAACTGAAAACACAAAAAGGTTGATCATCTATTTTACCTCAAACTCTTCTTGCCATTTCAAAAACTCAGAGTTCATCATGAACCCGGCGGGCAAGTCGGTGGTGTGCATTCTGCA